TTTTAGCATCACTAGCCGGTTTCAACATAAAGTGTCTCATCAGCAGCATCCGGCGAGCTTGAACCAATGCTAGTGAACGGCCAATGTTATAGACATGGACCCTCCCTGTTAGATAAGGGTCCCTAGCTCAACACGTGATTATACAATGCATTGCACAACAGAGATATTCCTCCATTTGTCTGCTTCTTAACTTTGTCTTCATTTAATCCACACTGACGCTAAGGAAGGGTCACAAAGCACCGAAATGACGGCCTAGAAAGTTTCGTTTGGCGAGAATTAAAAAACTTAAAATTTACCATCAAGCGATCCATGACAGGATGGTAGTGACATCACAGCCCCTGGCCACCTGGGCCGCTACCAGCCTGGGTTTGACTGCGGGCATCTCGGGAGTCGGCGTCTGCGTTCGGGCGGTGGCAGGAGTTGGTTTGTGCCCACATCTGGCACCGGTGTTGCCGAGTAGAACCAGACAGCAGTTTACTCCAGCACAGTGCTGCATTACAATCATGTCCGGGTTTGATCTGTGGTGAAAAAGGTGGTCACCCCTACCACTCACGAACCTTCTCACCTGCCCGCCCGCCCGCCCGCCCGTCCACTAAGGTGGGTGTGCTAAGCCAGACGCGTCGCCAACCCAAACTCCTGTACATTTGCCTCCTCCCCCAGCTTTCCCCCGGCTGCTACTCCGCAAATACCAGGACACTCCGTCCGCCTCCGCCGATCTCCCCTCGGGCACAGCCACGATCCGCGAGTGCCCGGCCACGATTACCCGACCAAGAGCACAAGTGGCGAGCGCCAGCGGCCCCGCGGAGGCTTGGGGGGAACCAGTGATGTTGAAAATAATTCGCTCCCACAAGGAAGGCCGCGTGGCTGATGCGGTGCATGAAAAAATACTTTAAAAAAAAATTACGCAGAGGGACAGATACGTGAAAGATGCGTATCTATACTTAGTTATGTTGTTGCACGTGCTCTCCGAAAGGACACTATTGATGATGATGATGACTGTATTGTGAATTACTCTAGGAGAAATTTGCGTCCAACTAGGTCCCATGTCTAAGAGAGGGCCCTTGCTGACAAACATCTGGGAGTTCACCAGCACTGGGTCAAGTCAATCGCGATTCCGCTGGCGAATCTCGAAACGGGTCAAGAGTTTGCTTGTGTCGAACCACTACTGCTGAAATTGTGCCGGATTACCCACAATTCAGCACTGCAAAGCGGTAGGCACAGTGGTCAACACACTTAGAACCCGGCGACCCGAGTTCAATCCCTGGCCGCGGCTAACGTCGGTGGCGAATACTGGGTGCCCCCCATTCAATGCGCCGCAACTGACCAGCGTGGTGAAGTATGGTCGAGCAACTATCACGGCCTCGTTGCATAGAATCGATTTCCGGATTCTCCGTCGAAAGCGTCAAGCGGGATGACACCAACCTGGTGGACCCCCGCGCACCGTTTCGCAGCCTCACCGGGTCTCCCGTCTCCACGTCCGCCACGCGGCCTCTGTCTATATTTTAAAGGCATGGCCTCAAAACCCACAATATGCTTTTTCTGTTCCTCTCCATTCCCCCCCCCAACACTGCCAGGGTGCCCTCGTCACGGCCCCCCCTGTCACGGCCCCCCCCCCTTCACGGCCCCCCCCTTCACGGTCCCCCGTCACGGCCCCCCCCGTCACGGCCCCCCGTCACGGCCCCCCCGACACGGCCCCCCCCCCCTGATGGTCCCCCCCGTCACGGCCCCCCCCTTCACGGCCCCCCCTTCACGGCCCCCCCGTCACGGCCCCCCCTTCACGGCCCCCCCGTCACGGCCCCCCCCCCCTGACGGCCCCCCCCCCTGACGGCCCCCCCCCGTTACGGCCCCCCCCTTCACGGCCCCCCCGTCACGGCCTCCCCTCCGTCACCGCCTCCCCGTCACGGCCCCCCCCTTCACGGCCTCCCCGTCACGGCCCCGCGTGTCTCCCACGGCCCGGGCTGCCTCTTGCCTAATTTCTCAGCGCTCTGCGAGTTTTTCTGAAGGTGCTTTATAGAAGTGATGCATTGTTATCGTGAAGACGCACGTGGCGTGGGGAGACATTCACCCAGCCGTGTGCGTGTTGGTGCGTGTGTGTAGGGTGTGCAGTGACTGGATAGTTTGTGGAGTGTGTGTGTGTGCAGTGGCGGTGGTGTGCGCGTGCGGTGCGTGCGGTGCAGCGCTATTTCCACTGCTGCACCCCCCACTGTGGGCTGGAAACTCCCGCACCGCGGGGGTGACCAACCGGTATTGGCGCGGAGAGCCACGGCAGCCAAGACTCAAATTGGAAAAACACGCGGGGCGAGGGGCGAGGGGGGTGGTGGCGGGGAGTGGCGGGTGTCAGAGGTCAACCCCACACATCATCGTCGTCATCCTCGCGGTGATTATCATCATCGTGCTAATAAGCATTGTCACTAACATCACAAAACTCAGCAGACAATTCGGGCAATGGCCCTTCTTCTGTGCGATGAAGGACCAATGCCCGAAACGTCGTCTATGATACTTTTCCTTATAGGGTCACACCCACAGTGCTGTTAAAGACACGGAAAGTGTCGAGTGCTTTGTTCATTGTTGCCTGTGCACCATTGGCAACACAGCAACGAATTATTTACAAATATCATGATCATTATTCGAATTAAAACGAAGGCATTGATAATTGTTATCAATATCATGATCGCAGTCACTTGTGTAGGAGAGGCGCTGAGGGCCACAGGCCTTGTGTGTATCTACAGAAGAGCTATTTAGGTGTTTGCAGTGGTGTCTTCGGTTCATATGGCTGGCAGGATGGTGTCGTGGTAACAACTTGCTCCTCGGAGCAAGACGGGCCTGGGTTCGCTTCCCGACTCGGGCGTCTGTCTGCGTGGAGCTTCTCTGATCGCTCGCCCCCTGTTCTGCGCGGGTTTCCTCCGGGCTCCCCAGTTTCCTTACCATATATAATAACGACAACAACAAAACCCACAACACAACGCAACTGAATTGGTCAAAACATCCCCCAATGCTGAAAAATGTTCCGGCGAAACAACTCAAAGTGGGATTACAAAGTAGCAGCTGCCATATCTCCCCCCCCACCCCGCCCCCCAGACCACCCCCCCCGGCCCCCCACCCCCAATGCGAAAACTTGGCAGGACCCTCATAAACAGAGAGTCTTGAGACTCGGCACAGCTTTTCTGGGCTACAACACGTGACAAGATAACAGCAACGAGAGTGGCACGTAACTGCGATTCAAGTAAAACCACATTGTTCTACAAAAAAACGTTAAATATGAGACTAAAATGTTAGACCAGGAAATCCCTTAAGATCATCTCGTGCGACATGCACACACAAAGACAAAGGTCCCCCGTGTAGCCTTAACAGGCTGTTGAGGCAAGTGATGTTAGCGAGTAGCAGCAGCATCTACGAAGGGCGGCACGGTGTCTGGCACCACGCCCGGCCGCCTTTGTCTCCCAAGTGAAGGCCGGGACGGCACAGCATAGCCATGCCACAACCATACATATTTACGTAGGAACTCACACACATTGACACACACACACACACCACGAGCCTTGGGGAGAGTGCTGTTGGCGAGCACCTATCAAGGTCAGTGCAGATCACGAGGGAAAGGCGTGGCCAGCAGCACCACGCTCAGCCGCCTTTGTATCCCCAGTGCTGATGTTTACACATCGCATCACGTACTCGTTTAATGCCGAGTCGACCTAGGGGACGTCCAGGATCAGTTGGTGGCCGTGAGCGGGAATCGAACTCGGGTCGCCGGGTTCGTAGTGCAGTGCGCTAAACGTTACACAACCGCTCTCCACTCTCTCACACACACACACCCACTCACTCGCCAACTCATTTACTCACCCACTCGTGGACTCAGTCACTCACCCACCCACTCACCAACCTCCTCACCCACCCACTCACTCACTCCACTCAGCCACTCACTCACCCACCCATCCACTCACCAACCTCCTCGCCCACTCAGTAACTCACTCACCCACTCCACTCACCCACCCCACTCACCACACCGCAGGTCACCTCTCTTCTCTTTCTGCTTCTTCACTCGCACCGCGCCACTCTGGAATTCCTTCCCCCACCACCACCACCATCGTCTCTGTTCCCCCAACTCTGAGAGAAGTCATCGTCTCGCTCAACTCACGAAGGTTACACTCTGTGCCGATTACACCCCTGACAGTGCCGCGTGTTGCTGGCCGCCTGTAGAGCAAGGCCGGTGTGCTGCTGCTGCTGAAGCCGAAACTTGGCACAACCTCCAAGTGCCTCTGGACATTCCTCCTCGTTGAAAACTAAACAATGTTTTAATCTTACCAGGCAAGGCCCTCCGAGCTGGCTATCACAAATGTAGCCATCGCGTGGAGATGCACAGCAGCAGCCGAACACTCTCAACGCGCGGATGTTGATTCTAAATGTGGAGGGAAAACCCGGAGGGATCGAGCCCACGACCTCGTGTATACCGGGCGAGGTAGTTAACATCTCCTAGCCAACGGTGGCACCGTCAACCGCACCAGGACATCATCGTCAGCAGCAGGCCGATGCGCACATCTCCTCCCTAGATTGACAAGTAGAGCCACAGGCCACGGCAGGGCGATTGTGGTCCGTGCTAACCAAACTTTGGACCATATCGTAAACGCGTAGAGACGCATAGAGGCTCACTCATTGAGCTGGATAGAGACGCATAGAGACACAGAGAGACCCATACAGACACAGCGAGATACATCAACACCCACAGAGGTACAATAGATTCTAGCCGTGTTCGTGCGACTGTGGCCATGCAACTCCACACGAGGGACCGCGCAGTGAACCCACTGTGGTCGTCTGCGCTCTTTCAACGGAGGAGGAGGAACAGCGACACGACACCGACTCCTGAAGCCCTCTGGACCCTGGCATCGAGGTCCTGAGCACACCTTGCTACTGACGACGTCGCGCGCACGAGTCGTCTCACGCAAAACCAAAAGTGAGCAGGGAATGAGCTGCAGCTGCTGCTGCTGGGTGCTCGGTGCGGTACGAACCATCAGCGCGCAGCCGTGCGACTCGAGCCGTGGATCGCCACGTCCTCCGTCTTGCGCGGTGGTGGTGATGATGATGGTAGTGGTGATGGTGATGATGATGACAAGTCCACGCGCAGTGTCTCTACCGCCTCTCGCTGGGGGGGGGGGGGGGCGGGCAGCGCGATAATCTTGTTGATGATGATGTTGTTGATGATGCTGTTGATGATGGTGGTGATGTTGTTGACGATGTTAATGATAAGTCGACCAACTTCTGTTGATGACTCTGCCGTCGCTGCTGCGGCTGCTGCAGATCCCTCTTCTACTCGTAAAGTTGTTTGCGGATGTTGCCGATATAGCGAATGATGTAGCTGATGATGTTGCCGCTGCTGATGATGATGCTGTTGATGGTGTTGCTGCTGATGATGCTGTTGCTGATGAGGATTGCCGTCGCCGCTGCTGCTCTTACTTCTACCGCTGCTGATGATGTTGCTGCTGCTGGCGACGATGTAGCTGCTGATTCTACCGTTACTTCTATTGCTGCTGCTACTGATGATGCTGGCGATGATGTAGCTGCTGCTGATGATGGTGATGCTGCTGCTGGCGATGATGTAGCTGCTGCTGATGACGAAGCTGCTGCTGATGATGTAGCTGCTGCTGCTGATGGTGTAGCTGCTGCTGCTGATGATGCTGATGATGTAGCTGCTGCTGATGATGATGTAGCTGCTGCTGCTGATGATGCTGATGATGTAGCTGCTGCTGATGTAGCTGCTGCTGCTGCTGATGATGTAGCTGTTGCTGCTGCTGGAGGAGCGCTCCCTTCTCTCGCGCGCTCCACGAGTCGCGAGGAACTTCCCTCGCGCGAGCCGCTTCCTCCTTTTCGGACGTGACGTCACAACCCTCCAATTAAGACGCCCCCCCCCCCCGCTCCTCCTACCCCCACCCCTACCCCCCCCCCCGCTCCTCCTACCCCCTTACCCCCACCCCCGCTACTCCCACCCCCACCCCCTTACCCCCCCCCGCTCCTCCTCTTCCCACCCCCTTACCCCTGCCCGCCCGCTACTCCCCCCCCGCTCCTCCCACCCCCAACCCCCCCCCGCTCCTCCCCTCAGCCGGTGCCTCCACAAGTGCAGTAGTAGTAATATAATCATATAATGGTAATAATAATATAATCTGTGATTGCACAGTGAAAACCACGCACCAGCTACCAGACCTACCGACTCGCGTTGTGCTGGAGGCTCCTGCCTCGCCTTGCCAGCCCCGCCTCGCGTCCACGTAGCCACGCCCACCACGGCACTAGCACCGCGTCATATACGTAGAGGCTGCTGCTGCCTTCCTGCTCGTCCGTGGTTCCTCCTCCTCTCACTCCGTGGTTCTTCCTCTCAGTCCGTGGTTCCCGATCTCACTCCGTGGTTCCTCCTCTCAGTGCGTGGTTCCTCCTCCTCTGAGTCCGTGGTTCCTGATCTCACTCCGTGGTTCCTGATCACACTCCGTGGTTCCTCCTCTGAGTCCGTGGTTCCTGATCTCACTCCGTGGTTCCTCCTCTCAGTCCGTGGTTCCTCCTCCTCTGAGTCCGTGGTTCCTGATCTCACTCCGTGGTTCCTGATCTCACTCCGTGGTTCCTCCTCTCAGTCCGTGGTTCCTCCTCCTCTGAGTCCGTGGTTCCTGATCTCACTCCGTGGTTCCTCCTCTCAGTCCGTGGTTCCTCCTCTCAGTCCGTGGTTCCTCCTCCTCTGAGTCCGTGGTTCCTGATCTCAGTCCGTGGTTCCTCCTCTCAGTCCGTGGTTCCTCCTCCTCTGAGTCCGTGGTTCCTGATCTCACTCCGTGGTTCCTCCTCTCAGTCCGTGGTTCCTCCTCCTCTGAGTCCGTGGTTCCTGATCTCAGTCCGTGGTTCCTCCTCCTCTGAGTCCGTGGTTCCTGATCTCAGTCCGTGGTTCCTGATCTCACTCCGTGGTTCCTCCTCTCAGTCCGTGGTTCCTCCTCCTCTGAGTCCGTGGTTCCTGATCTCACTCCGTGGTTCCTGATCTCACTCCGTGGTTCCTCCTCTCAGTGCGTGGTTCCTCCTCCTCTGAGTCCGTGGTTCCTGATCTCACTCCGTAGTTCCTGATCTCACTCCGTGGTTCCTCCTCTCAGTGCGTGGTTCCTCCTCCTCTGAGTCCGTGGTTCCTGATCTCAGTCCGTGGTTCCTGATCTCACTCCGTGGTTCCTCCTCTCAGTCCGTGGTTCTTCCTCCTCTGAGTCCGTGGTTCCTGATCTCAGTCCGTGGTTCCCCTGGCGTCGCTGTGCGGTGGCGGCGCTGCTGTCGTCACAAGATGACGTCATTCTCGCCTCGTCCCCGTTGGTGCTGACTGGGACCATCGGTCGCTTTGCGATGATAGCGAGGAGCGAAGTTCATCCTCGAGGTTTTAGGGTTTGGGGCCGTCCATAAATGACGTCACGCGATGTTGGACGGTTTTTGACCCCCCCCCCCCCCCCATTCGTCACACGACGTCACAAAAAGTCAGACCCCCCCCTAAAATATGACGTCACAAAGCTCTGCCCCCCACCCCAAAAAAAATAAAACATGCTTCAAATCGCTTTAAACTATTGTCATTGTAGTGCGTATTTAATGTGGCACTTTTCTCTGATTTATTAAAAAGTCTATTTAATAAAGTAAAACGTGTTGTCTAAATTTATTTAAAGTTGCGCATTTTGATGTGACGTCACTTTTCTCACCCCCCCCCCCCCCTCGTCACACATCGTCACAAATGTCTGACCCCCCCCCCCTAGGTGCGTGACGTAATTTATGGACGGCCCCTTACATCGCGTAAATGCATAAATGTGTCGTTAAAACCCGCCACCACCCGACACAGCCAACTAGTAAGGGTTGTCACGTAAACAGAACGTGGCCAATTCGTCACTAGTACAGCACTAGTGTGTAGTGTAGTATATAGTGTAGTGTAAAGTGTACTAGTACAGCACTAACCGGTGTGTTGGAGAGCCAAGCCACAACATTTACAATCTGAGCACGACGTTTCGCCAGTAATTACAACTAGCTTCATCAGGCGCCAGACAGTTTTGTGGAGAAGTCCACCTGTTTCGTTCCTTATCTAGAGGCGTCGATGTGGTGACTACACTTCTGCGCTCTTGCACAATGTGGGGGGGGGGGGGCAGTGATTATATATATTTACGCGATCTAACCCAAAAACTTTCTACATTTGAAGTTTTCGTGACTGCAAGGATCCATACTCTTTGGTTCTTTCGGTAAAGTCACGTAGGTGAAAAAAAGTAAGAATAAAAGGAGAAACAATCTAATTAAATTACGACGTTTTGGAAGCAACACAAGCTTCCGTCATCAGGTGGGACAACCACAGCTGAGAATGTCCCACCTGATGACGGAAGCTTGTGTTGCTTCCGAAACGTCGTGATTTAATTTGATTATTTCTATTTTTATTTTTTCACTTACGTGACTTTACCGAAAGAACCAAAGAGTATTAACCCAAAAACCTCTGTTATGGATGATGTTGGTCGCGAAAGCCTCCCGCGTGTTAAAAGGAGCGAAGTGGATTAATGGAACCAAAGACCGCAGTGGGGTGGCGTGGATCGCACACTCGCAATGCAGTCGTGGCCGGTTCGGTGCCATCTCCCGGCGCGGCAGGTGAACCGATGGGGGCGGGTTTCTTACCCCCCTCCCCTCCAACCTCCTCTCCCCTCCCCCCACCTCCCCCCCACCTCCCCCCTCTCCCCTCCCCCCACCTCCCCCCCACCTCTGCTCAGCAGGCAGGGCGAGTGGGGCTCGCCACGGGGCAGGTCGCGGGAGCTCACAACCACTGCCAACACGCCAGGTCGACGTGGAAGAGTAACGCGAGGGCGAGTAACGCCAGGTAAAGTAACGCCAAGGCGAGTAACGCCAGGTAAAGTAACGCCAAGGCGAGTAACGCCAGGTAAAGTAACGCCAAGGCGAGTAACGCCAGGTAAAGTAACGCCAAGGCGAGTAACGCCAGGTAAGTAACGCCAAGGCGAGTAACGCCAGGTAAAGTAACGCCAAGGCGAGTAACGCCAGGTAAAGTAACGCCAAGGCGAGTAACGCCAGGTAAAGTAACGCCAAGGCGAGTAACGCCAGGTAAAGTAACGCCAAGGCGAGTAACGCCAGGTAAAGTAACGCCAGGCGAGTACGCCAGGTAAAGTAACGCCAAGGCGAGTACGCCAGGTAAAGTAACGCCAAGGCGAGTAACGCCAGGTAAAGTAACGCCAGGGCGAGTAACGCCAGGTAAAGTAACGCCAAGGCGAGTAACGCCAGGTAAAGTAACGCCAAGGCGAGTAACGCCAGGTAAAGTAACGCCAGGGCGAGTAACGCCAGGTAAAGTAACGCCAAGGCGAGTAACGCCAGGTAAAGTAACGCCAAGGGCGAGTAACGCCAGGTAAAGTAACGCCAGGCGAGTAACGCCAGGTAAAGTAACGCCAAGGCGAGTAACGCCAGGTAAAGTAACGCCAAGGCGAGTAACGCCAGGTAAAGTAACGCCAGGGCGAGTAACGCCAGGTAAAGTAACGCCAAGGCGAGTAACGCCAGGTAAAGTAACGCCAAGGCGAGTAACGCCAGGTAAAGTAACGCCAGGGCGAGTTACGCCAGGTAAAGTAACGCCAGCGCGGGTAACGCCAGGTAAAGTAACGCCAGGGCAAGTAACGCCAGGTAAAGTAACGCCAGGGCGAGTTACGCCAGGTAAAGTAACGCCAGCGCGGGTAACGCCAGGTAAAGTAACGCCAGGGCAAGTAACGCCAGGTAAAGTAACGCCAGGGCGAGTTACGCCAGGTAAAGTAACGCCAGCGCGGGTAACGCCAGGTAAAGTAACGCCAGGGCAAGTAACGCCAGGTAAAGTAACGCCAGGGCGAGTTACACCAGGTAAAGTAACGCCAGCGCGGGTAACGCCAGGTAAAGTAACGCCAGGTAAAGTAACGCCAGGTAAAGTAACGCCAGGGCGAGTAACGCCAGGTAAAGTAACGCCAGGTAAAGTAACGCCAGGTAAAGTAACGCCAGAGCGAGTTACGCCAGGTAAAGTAACGCCAGGTAAAGTAACGCCAGGGCGAGTTACGCCAGGTAAAGTAACGCCAGGTAACATAACGCCTGTGCAAGTAACGCCAGGTAAAATAACGCCAGGGCGAGTAACTCCAGAGAA